CCGGCCTCACCTGTCCCTCTCAAACCCCCTCTCTTTGCTTTCTTGTCTTGCAGAAAGTTAACACGGAGCAATCGGTGAGTGTCCCCTGGAGCTCCGCTGCTCCCCAATCCTGTGCCTGGGCCCATCCCCTATGGGTCAGCTGCAGCCAAGCGGGGGCTCGGTGGCACAGCCCTGCCCTGCAGGCAGCCCCTGCCTGACCCCTGCCAGCTCCCCCCGAGCAGGGTGCAGCCTGGCCCTGGTGCTGCCCGCTGCCTCTAATGCTGTTTTCTCCTTCTCTCTGGGCAGTGCTGCTCCTTCGAGTGCCAGGTAAGTCGGGCTTTTGAGACCCCCTGTCCCCTTCCCTTGCATCCCCATGGCCCCAAGCTGTGCCTCAGTGGCTGGTCTAACCCATACCTGTCTCCTGCAGCCTTCCCGAGGGCTCCCTGGACCTCCCGGTGACCCGGGCAATGAGGTGAGGGACCGGCTGCGGCCATGCTGAGGAGCGGGGCGGTGGGATGGGCTCACTGGGGATACTCAGAGACCGGTGGGGCACGGGTCCTCACCACTCCACCACTGCCCCATGGAGAGGTGGATGAGGACCCACACCATGCTCCCGTGCGGCTGGCATCATCGGCTCCCCACATCCATAGAGTATTGCTGCTACCATTCTCCCTGCTCTCCTTTCAAAAGGTTGTGGTTCTATTCCTGGGGTTGATGAGCTAACTTTATTTCTGTCCTGTATTGCAGGGAGAAAGAGGCAAGCCAGGTCTTCCTGGCCAGAAAGGAGATGCTGGAGACCCAGTAAGTAAATGACCGGCCCTGGTGACTCTGCGCAGGGGCTATTTTTTGGCCATTTCTGGCCAGACCTCTTCAGTGCATCCTCACCAGCCCTTACCCCTGCATCACCCTGTTTCCATGGGGTAGTCAGTGGGGTCATGGCCAGCTGTCCCCTCCGCAGCCACCCTGCCGAGCAGTGGCTCCTGGTGGGCAGTGAGGTGGCCCCCTCCTCTGTTGCTACAAGGCTTCCTTGTTCCTCACCCAAAATAGCCGTTCCTCCTGGAGGACACGTCTCTGACTCATGTATGCCAGCCCAGGGGTGGACTCTGGGCTGCCTCCCACGTCCTCTGACATGACAAGCACAGCAGTGTTACAGGGAAACCTTTGGTAAATAATAAGCTAAATAGCATGAGGAAACTATTTCCCTCCTCCTCCCTTTTTTTCACTAGGTACATTTATTCTGGGGAGATGTATTTCTCCCGCACACGTGAGTGTGCAGTCACTCGTCTTGTGCATTCCCAATTTGGAAACCCCATGCCATGCATTTTTCCTTCCCAAGGGTTTTCTGCCTTCCCTTTCATCCCAGGTGATGTGTCCCCAGGTGCCCATTTCCCTCACACCCAGGAAGGGCTGGAGATGGTAGAGGTGAAGGCAGGTCCCCTCTGCCCTCCACAATGATCCCGTGCTCCTAGACTGGGCAAACGAGGAGCGGGGTTATGGGAGAGCCTGCTGTGGAGAGGGTATGGCAGCTGGGGCCCGAGACCCACATCGAAAGCCTGGGGGGAAACTGCCCCATGGCGATGGTGGTGACAGTATCTGCCTTTGTAACACCATGTTCTGTCCTCTAGGGCAGGCCAGGGGACATGGGACCTGTTGGCTACCAAGGAATGAAGGTACATGGGGCTGCAGGGTCACGGGCACGGTTCCTACATGGGCCACAGGCTTTGTGCTGCAAGTGTTTTCATTCTCCCGTTTTCCTCTCTCCTTTCATCTCTAGGGTGACAAGGGAAGTCGAGGAGAAAAGGTGAGGACAACAAGGATATTGGGGGGAGATCTCTGTGTCCCCCTGCTTGGTTTCCCCGGGCTGCCCCTGCAGCTGCATGGTGTTGGGGTCTGGTACATGCCCGCGCATCCGTCCCTCCTGCTGGCACTGCCCATGCCAGGGGCGGGGATCCAATGGGATCAGCCAGTTTGCAGCTCACACAGCCTTGGGGATCAGTGGGCACAGCCAGGCAGAACAGGAGAGACCAGCAGTGTGCAGGGGCACAGTGAATGCCTGCACCCTTGGACCAAGTTGGCGTGGGGCCCACAGCGCAGGGGGCAGATGCATCTGCTCTGCACGGAGGCCTAATATCTCTCTCCTTCTCTTTGCAGGGCTCGAGAGGAGCCAAAGGAGCCAAGGTCAGCCTCTGTTTTTATACCATTTATTCCTTCTGGTTGATGCCTGGGGGGAGAAGGGTCTTTGGAAATCACTTCTTCATGATCCTTATTCTCCGTTTCAGGGTGAGAAGGGCAGGCGTGGAATCGATGGCATCGATGGCATGAAGGTAAATGTCCAGTCCGGGGCACTTTGCTTAGCCTGAGGACTCTGGCTTTTGCCCCTCCAAAACCATTGTGGGGTCCGGGAATGAAGCCAGTGTCCCACATGGGGCAGTGCAACTCCCTCCCTGCAGGGCCATCCACCTGCCGCAAGGGACAGAACTGGGGTGTCCCTTTCAGGGCTCTGGGATGATGGATGGAGGTCTTCCCACAGGCACCGCTCATGGAGACCCATGGCTCTTTGTCTGTCTGACAGGGTGAAGCTGGATATCCCGGGTTACCTGGCTGCAAAGGCTCACCCGGATTCGACGTACGTACTCTGTGGGTTCCCCTTGCATACGAATGAACCAGTGCAGCAGGTCTGCCATGATGGCTCATGGAAACGAGGAGCCCCCCAAGAAGGGGAGCTGTGGGAGGGAGTTGCCACGCTTGGAAATACACCTCTAGACATGCAATGCTTATCCCAGGTATGGCATCTTGGGGGTGTCCCCAGGGCAGTCTGCCTCGTCCTTGCCTGGAAGCTGTCCCCCATTGCACGGTGCTGCCTGGGAAGCTGCACACTGGGGGAGCATTTGGCTGGAGGCTGTTCAGCACAGGGAACTCGGCAAAGAAGAGCTCAGTGCCAGATGGGCAAGCCCAGGATTAACCAATTTCAGCCTGCTGTGACCAGCCACTCAGAAAATGTTGGAGATTTTGGAGGGCTCTGGAAGATATTATTCTGACATTGGATTTCTCCAGTTTCCCTGCTTGTTTCTGTGCTCCCAGGATGAAGCATCCGTGGTGGCACCAGTATCACTGCGGTCCAGCCACAGCAGCCCAACCACCACCTTTTCTGCCATTTTCCTCTAAGCTGCAGAAGCACGCTCAGTTTTGCAGTGTTTCAGCAACGTGGCCGCAGTGTTGCTTGCATGGCTCCATGATACAAGAGTACCATGCCATCCCTGCGTCGCTCCTGAGTACATGTCCTTCCTGTCGATCCCACTGGGGAGCTGCAGGCCAGGCTGCCGGGATGCTTGGTCCATACCCAATTTCCTGCAGATAGTGATACTGGCTTGGTTTTCAGTGACGCTGCCTTTATTTTCAACAGGGAGCTCAAGGCCCGCCTGGACCAAAGGGAGATCCTGGTGCTTACGGACCCAAAGGAGGAAAGGTGAGCCACTCTGCCCAGCTCCATGTGGAAGGAGGGGTGCTGGCACCCCTCTTCTGCAAGAGGGAGAGCTGGCGATTGACCCATTGCTGGCCTCCTTGCACTGCTTGGGGCAAGCCTATGCTAGAGGATGCTGCCCGTCACCCACAGTAAGATCTGGCTGGTGTGACTCCCAGCATGCCCAAGGTTAGCGGGTGCCCAGAAGCTTGGCACAAGCATCCCTGAGATATTGGGGGGCTGCTGTGAAAAGGTGGCTCGCACTGGGCAGGTGGAGTTCAGGGGGGGGATCTGCTGGGCATGGGGAGCTCCCTGGGGAGAGACCACAGCCCAGAAAGGCCTCTGTGCCGTGGGAGCCAAAATTCACCGCTAGGCACTGGATGCAGTCTTGACGGTGTCTTGTGTCCTTGTGAAGGGGGAGCCTGGGGATGATGGAAAACCTGGCCGACAGGGGATTCCCGGCAGCCCTGGAGAAAAGGTGGGTGAAACGCCTGTGTGTGAGTATCCTCTGCCCTCTGTGAGAGGGAGAGGTCCCCTGCTCCAGCCTTGCCTTTGAAGTAGAGCTTGCCCAAGGCTCTGCAAGCACGTAGGGCTTTGCTCCGAAACCTGCTGACTTGTCTCGTTTGCACCCTTGTGGCTTGCTCACGCAGGGCACGCCTGGAAACCGGGGTGAGCCTGGACCGGTAGGAGAGACGGGCGACGAGGTGAGTCCTCTGCCTGTGCCCGCGATGCCCCTTGTGCATGCTTGCCGGCCATCCCCACTGCCTTACCACCCCTGTTGTCTCTCCACAGGGCGCTCCGGGCGCAGATGGTCCTCCTGGAGAACGGGTAAGTGAGGGTACCGCTGCCGGGCACCACGCCGGCAGGGCACAGGCAGGGGCTGGTACCCTGATGAGGAGGAGGAAGGCTGAGAGTGAACCCACTCAGAGGTGGCAATGAGGGAGGGCTTTGCTCCTGCTGGGAGCAGGTCCTGATTTTGTGTTTCCACCATCTCCTTGCAGGGCAGCAATGGAGAAAGAGGCCCCCCGGGCTCACCAGGAGACCGCGGGCCAAGAGGAGAGCCGGTAACTGCGTCTGCGGGGTGGCTTTCAGTGTCTGCTTGCAAATGGGGTCATGCTTGGCAGCCAGGGTCTGGAAATAGGTGCCCAGTGGCTAATTCCATTAGTCTGTGGGCCAGCAGGCAAGCTCAGTGTCTTTACCTGCCAGCCCAGGGGGGACATGCCGTTGTCCCCCAGCAATTGCCCCTTCACGCTGGCAGCTAATCACCAAACAGCCAAAAGCCAGAGGAGAGCGTGCCCAGCAAGCCAAGAGCAGGCAGAGAGCGGTCAGCCCCTGCCTCGTGGCTGCAAAACCAGTTGATGGAGAGCAAAGAAGCAAGATGTCCTCCTCTGGGTGCTTGGGGGCTGCATGGGTGGCTCGGGAAGGAGGACACAGGTGCCATTAGCGGCAGGGTAGCGTGCATGGGTGCAGAAGGGAGGGGGAACACCCTTACCTCTCCTTTTGGGTGGGAGTCACTAGGAAAGTATTTTTCCTGCCGGCTGGGGGTGAGTCACCGAGCATGAGTGTGGGAGGGACAGGCAGGAG